AGCACACCTCTGCACTCCAGCTCACACGTGGATAAATCCTGTAGCAGAGGATTAAGCAGCAGAGCACACGTTATGGCTTATAAGGCAAGCTCCTGTAGAAGCACAAGGTCTCATTTCTGTCCCAGCGGTTGTAGCGCTGTGTTGCTGTGTGGGTGATTTGCCTGCAGTAAAGAGGACTGTGGCATTGTGCATCTCAGACATTTCAGTCTTTGAGCTGAAACTTCCTGTGCTTGCATTTAGCCCCAAAATATGCCTTTAAACTTTGGTGAATTCAGACTTTGTTTAGCTGAACTTTTTTTAAAAAAAGTCTATCCATTGCATTTTGTTTCTTCCCCAAATATTGTTTTGTTACTTCAGACATTCTCTTTAGGGCAGCAAGCACGTAGACCTCACCTTGAGTCTTGGAGCAGAACGCCTGACCCAAAGGGGTGTCCTGCCTCCTGCAGGCAGCCACACTCGGGCTGTGACGGTGAGACTGCATTAGCAGGGTTGCAGAAATCTCTACAGCTGTCTGCAGACGGGGGGAGCTGTGCTCTTGGCAAGAGCAAAAAATCGTTTCTCCTTGAAGGTAGTGAGGAAGCAATGTGTTCAGCGCAGACAGCAACTCAGTGTAGAAAAGGAAGAGCATCCCTGTTTGTTTAAAGCAGATTAACCTGCGGAGGTGCCCGATGACATTAAGAGCAGTCACGTGGTGCTCACTTGTGATTAGCTCTGTGCTCAGTGAAGAATCACCATCTCTCTTTCTGCTCTTCACAACCGCAGTGCTAAAACTTGGGGTCGTGGGTTTGAGTTTAATGGAAGCACGTCTGCTCTGTGATGACAATTATGCACATTTATTAAAAGCGTGCTCCTGGAGTAGCTGTTTGCTGAAACTGGCATCCCGTGTTCTTTTTAAAGAAAAGAAAAATCCATACCAGGACCACTTCAGCTGATGTGGGCTGATCAGGTCTAACTACAACTGCAGATCCCATCCTCCGTGGTCCATTTCATCTGAGTGCTCGCATTTAAAAAGCAAGCAAAAACCAACAGGTGCAAAGTACAGGAAGAACCTGTTTTTAAGAGGAAACAAAACGAAGCACAGTTCTGAATCCAGCACTAAATCGAGGTGTCTCACATAAGATTTGCAGCAAAATGAGAGTTCTGGTCGCTCGCAGGTGGGAGCAGCGAGCACTGAGCTGGGTGCTTCCTGACGGATTGTGTTTGCTCTTTTCCCAGTATGCCACGACGGGCTGCTCGCTGACGCTCCACCACACAGAAAAGCCAGAACACGAAGACATCTGTGAGTATCGGCCCTACTCCTGCCCGTGCCCTGGTGCCTCCTGCAAGTGGCAGGGATCCCTGGAGGCCGTCATGTCCCACCTCATGCACGCCCACAAAAGCATCACCACCCTTCAAGGAGAAGACATCGTTTTTCTCGCCACGGACATTAACCTGCCGGGTGCTGTTGACTGGGTGATGATGCAGTCGTGCTTTGGTCACCACTTCATGCTGGTGCTGGAGAAACAAGAGAAGTACGAAGGTCACCAGCAGTTTTTTGCTATCGTGCTGCTCATCGGCACCCGTAAGCAAGCAGAGAACTTTGCGTACAGACTGGAGCTGAACGGCAACCGGCGCAGACTGACGTGGGAGGCCACCCCGCGCTCCATCCACGACGGGGTGAATGCTGCCATAGTCAACAGTGACTGCCTCGTTTTTGATACCGCTATCGCACACCTTTTTGCTGACAATGGGAACCTTGGAATTAATGTGACCATTTCCACGTGTTGTCCGTGATAGATTTGTGTAGTAGTGAAACGTCGGCTGTCTGGGCACAGTGCTTTATGTTACTGAGAATTTTCTTTCTGTTCTGGGTTTTTTAGATGCTGTTCTGCTATGTCTTTGTGTAAGTTAAGGTTCCTAACTAGCCAACGTTTGTAAGTTTGGAGAGAAGAGGAACAAGTGTGTCCTGTAAGTAATATAAGCAAGGAGAGGTTTTTTAAATTCTTGGGTGCCTTAGGAAGATTTTCCCCACACATAGACACCTTTTTAAATATAATTAATTTTAAAAAAAAGAGTGCTTCCATTGGACACGTGGCTTGAGGGGTGTGAAGGACTGCATTCCTGTTTAGAGTGCACCTAGAAACCCTTTCAAGCAGGAAAACAGACTTGCTCTCACCAGTGAACTTCAGGACTCTTTGTAAGGTGGGAAAAGAAGAAAATCCAAGCAGCTTATCACAAGAGAAGAGAGGTACTTCAGCGTTGCTATTCCACTTCCTGCTGCCTTATTTAAAAGGATGGGCACTGGATCATTTGCTGCCTTTATAAAAGAAGAGGGGGAAGGGAAGACTGGAGGACTGGGGTGAAGCCCAGCAGGTCTCAGAGCATGGGAATTGCTGGCTCTGGTCTGTGTTGGGATGTAAGGGAGTCCAGCGCGCGGCACGGCCGCTCTCAGCCAGGTCCTGGCGATGGCAGAGGGCACACAGCGTAATATTCCCAGATAGCTAGAGCCAATAATGCAGAAATATATTCAGGCTGTCCACGTGCAGCTTCCCTTGGAGACATGCTTGGTCATTGTAAAAGATTAGAATAATACAGCAAGAGCTTTATGGCCAGTGTCATGTCATTTGCTATTTAACTTTTGTTGCCATATTTACTTTTATTTTGTAATAAATATTTTGCAAAAACACCACCATGCTGCATGCTGTCCTGCTGCACCAGGCCCCGCTGCCAGCCCTGCTGCTGTGGAGCACATGGGGCTGCTGCTGGGAAGCCCACACTGAAACCAGTGTGCCACAGGAGCTGGAGCTGCCTGCACGTCACGCTCTGCTAGCAGGAGCCTTCTCTCAGAGTCACTCACAAAACCCACGAGCTTGCATGTCTTGGCCGAGCAGTGAGGTGACACACAGCCCAGTAACCTGGAGGCAGTAAGCCTCACGGTAGTGGAAAACTACGTGTAAAACGGCAGATGGAGTTTGGTGTGAATAATACCCAGGGAGGAACGCTGCTCCCAGCCAGGTGTGTTCAGGGAAGAGATCTCTGGAGTCACAGCACAAAGCCCCATGTGAATGCCAGGCAGTGCTGGGCAGCTGTCCACAGAAAAGCACAGGAGAAACACAAGAAAAGCATCAGGGATGGGAGGCTTGCTCTGTCCTTGACAGTTTGGAAATGGTTGTGGAAAAAACCTCCCAAGGAATTACTCTAATCTTTTTGTATCCAGTTCCTATGAGATGCTATGTTGGATCTCATTTGCACTGTGCTGGCAGAACTCCAGCATCGGCCGGGTGAACTCATTTATTCCTGCTTAAGCAGGATCAAAGTCAGGCCCTGGCTCTGATGGGAGCTAACACCTGTGCCTTTAGCAGGATGCGTTAAGCACAAATTCCCAAGAGTTTAATTCATTTTCCCATATCTCAGCAGCATTTATAGTGGAAAACAATTTTGCTTACCAAAAATTTGTGTTGGGTCTTAACAGCTTTTTGTGTAAAACAACACTCTAAAGCAAGTCATTATTGTAGCAGGATTCATGGCATGGAATTACCTAACGCTGTTTGTAAACCACATCAGATAATTCAACATTATTTCACTGTGGTTTCCTCTACCGTTCAGTTCCTCTGATGGAACAGAAATTCGTATTGTATTTTACAAAAAACAAAACCAACCAAAAAAAAAAACCAAACAAAAAAAAACAAACAAAAACAAAACAAAACAAAAAAAAAAACCACCAAACCCTGCAACATGGAGCATCTTCTCCTATAACTGATAAAACTGAATTTAGAAGGCGTACCTCAGGTGGTGCAGCCAGGAAGTGACGTGTTGCCCCATCAGTTCAGCGGATGTGCTGGCAGCATTGGTTCTGACACCCAGCCCAGGTGCTCCAGCTCCCCTGCCGGCACCATCCAAGGCCACGGGAGGCAGGCAGGTGCTGGCATGGGGCAGCCGCACAGCTGTGGGGTCATGGAACCTTCTCACCATACGCAAAAACATCACTGGGGCTGCCTCCAATTTGTTTACAAGACTCCTGACGGCAAACAAAGCCTTCTGACTTTGGAACTGACTGAAACACACCCAGGTAAAAATCTACCCGTGTTGACCAGCAACACCAGTGCTGGCCGGGCGTGCCAGCAGGGAGACCGCTCTGAGTCACCAGCCATCCCCACGTCACGGCAGGCCCGGCACGCAGCACGGCAGCACCGGCAGGCCATCCCGGCAGGGCCCCGGGCGGTACCGGCAGCAGGAGCGGTGCCCGGGAAAGGATTTTCCATTGTCGCGACGCACCGCTGGCAGTTCTTCCCAGAGCCTCCTCCGCTCTGAGCACCAACGCAGAAGCCGCGGGTGCCTCCGCTCCGCTCCGCGCGGCACAGCAGCGCCGCCCCGCGCGTCTCCGCGGCCTCCCCGCACCACGCGCCGCGCCACCGCCCCGCGTCGCCACGGAGACGGCACGCGGGGCCGCAACCGCCGAGACCGAGCGGGACCGAGCGGCAGCTGCTCGGACGGCCGCCGGGCGGAGGAGGAGGGGAGCGGAGCGGGACCGGGCGCCGTTCTCCCGAAGAGCTCCCGCGCATCCACCCGCTCGGCAGCGAGCCTGGGCCGAGCAGCGCCTCCGTGTGCGCGCCGCCTGCCTTTCTGCTCGCACACGTCGGGAAAAGTTTGCCGTAACGCGATGTTGTTGTAAGGCGGTTGCTTGGAAGCCGTTGCGCGGGACTAACACGCGGCTTTCTGCCTCAGACAGCGGACATGGAAGTGCCCGACGGCGTCGGCGCCAGTGCCGCGCAAAAGCCACCGGGAAGGTCACCGCCGCAGCAGCCAGAAGCGAGCCGGCTCCAGGACCGCGCCTGCAGAGAACCACGTAAGAACAGCCGGCGGGCCGTGCCGGACGCTCCGCCCGCAGCTCCGTCCCGCACACCGGCAGCCCCGCTATGGCTGCGGGACAGCGCGCGGGGCGGGGGAACGCCCTGCCAGCCCGCGGCACAGCGCGACGGAGCCTTGGGGGAGGCGCTTCGGGCCTCGGAAGGCAGCTCGCAATACGGCAGCCCTTCTCCTTCTCCTGCCCAGCTGAGGTGCGCGGCCTGGGATCAGAGCCGGCCCCACTCGCTGGCCAAGGCGGCAGAACACAGCAGTGCCAGGTTCTGTCTGGTCCCTGATTCTCTGGGCGTTCCCTTCAGGCAGGCAGGCCTCTGAGGGGACAGGCGGCTCCTCGGGGGCTCTGTGGGTGGTCACGCTCCGTGGCACAGCGTGACTGCAGAGGATGGTAACTGCATCTCCTTAAAGTGCAGTTTCACCAGGCTCACAAACCAGCAGCCGAGCCCATCAGCCCTCTGACTGCCCACGCAGCTCCACAGCGCTGCATTCCGCTCCCTGCCCGGTGCGTTCCCCGCAGCCCCGACAGCTCAAGCAGGCAGGAACATCACCCCATCCCATCCAAATACACATCCTAATTTTTTCCTCTTTTCTGAAAAGGATTTAGAAGGGCAGTGGCAGATGCCTGACCACAAGACATTCCCTGCTGCCTCACAGGCTGAAGCCCCTCCTTGCACACACGCAGCACGGGCTGCACCTAGAGATGCAGAAACCGGTGTCCTGCCCGCTCCTTCCCCTCAGCACCACAGGGCCAGGGAACGTTCCCCCAGGTGTAGTGATGCCAGACAGGCACTGCGTCCCTGGCCCCAAGCAGCAGGCCGCCCCTGAGCTGCTGGGGCCCAGCACAGTCCCCCCAGAAGGCCACGGAAGGCCTCAAGGAACACGGCCGTGCTGCGCAGCTGCTCTCAGCACTGCTCTTGCCTGCAGCTCCACCAGGAGAGCCCAGCAGACTGGACATCATGTGTGCCACGGAGGTAAAGACTATTCAGTCCCTTGCAGCAATGCATTTATGGTTCTTCCTTGAACAAAGCTGTGACTCCACACTCTTTCCCTCTCCCAGTTCCTAGAGGATTTTGTGGAGCTGCTGGCACAGCCGCTGCGCACGCTGCCTGCCGTCGGCCCGCCAGCCGTGCTGGCCTACAGACCTGAGGTGCTGCGGGGCCACCTGCGGGCCGAGGTGGGTCCCTGCTGGGTGCTCTTTGGTTAATTCCTGGGAACCAATATCGTGCCAAGATATCACAGACACACGGCTAAGCACTATTACACATTTCACAACACCGTGTTTTGAGCAGCGCTACTTCCCCAAGATAAAACAAGGATCTGTGTGCTGATACATTCTTTCTGTCATCCTGCCTCCACTTTAGGCAGAGGAGGACTGTGCTCCCAAGTGTGAGTACTGCGGAAGCCTGCTGAGGCCGTTCCCTTCCTTCGAAGACATTTGCCCTCCACCACAGGTTATGGAGCAGTGAGCAGGAGGAAGATGAGGGGCTGGCCCTGGGGAGCCGTGCTGCAGTGACACTGCTCTCTGCCTTCCAGAAGTTCTGCTGCAAACGCAATCAAGACCTCTACGAGTTCATCATAAATGAGAGGAAGAAACATGAAAGTGCTTGGAACGGCCCTATTTCTATAGGCTCTCACAAGCCCCATGGCAGTGAAGCTGAAAGACAGCTGGCAAAGGAGAGAGCGTACCAGAGGTACCATGCTGGCTGCAGGCTTAGATGGGGATAGTTTGGATAGGGAACAGGCTACTCTGGAGGGAAAAGAAGTGCTAAGAAAATGAGACTACAGCAAGAGGTAATGAAGAAACTTTTTAAAAGCTAGGCAATACATGCTCATATTCCAACTGGTCCCCCTCAGCTTTTCTCTTACCAACCTAGAAGCAAGTAGGGCCCAAAATGTAATTGCAGCTGTGGCAGGGACAATATTTAGGTCTTGTTTTTGCCCCAGGTGCCAAAGCAATACATGAATTTGTATTTCTCTATTTTGCTGCTCAAACCGTGGCACATTTGAATTCAAATCCACAGAAGTCAAACACACTCAGCCAAGACTCGGGCTGAGCTCTCTAGCAGGAGGCACAAAGTTCATACAGGCATTCTACCCTAAGGCACAACGACACAGCACACCTGGAAATAAACTGTTAGCTTCCCTGTAGGCAGTCCAATGGCGTGAGTACCTCATATTACATGCAGAGCATCAACCAAAGCCACTGTTGGACATTGTCATGTTTATAAGGCAGAAGAGCAGCGAAAATATCCCTGGCTGGTACCTTTCATTCAGCTAGTGGGCAGCACTGCTTTCACATAAAATCTCCATGTACAGTCCATCACATTGTTTAGCTCTGCTATCAGTGTGATTCCATTGCAATCACAGGGTGTTTTCACTGAAATCTCTGCGTGGGAACAATTTGTTTCTCCTGAGATAGTACTGTACTGGTGATATGCCATTGCTTCTAACAGTTATTTGCAATTATAGGAGTAGAGATGAAAACAGGTTCAGAAACTTGGATTTCTATTGCAAGTCTACCCAGTACCCACCCACTTCTGAAGAGGGATATGAAATACCTCTCATGAACACTTCTCTTTCCAGGCAGCAGGAAAGACAACTGACCAGACAGTTAGCCTTCCTGGCAGCTGAGCCAAGAACTGCAGCTGAGCTGAGAACTGCAGCTGAGCCGAGAACTGCAGCTGAGCTGAGAACTGCAGCTGAGCCAAGAACTGCAGCTGAGCCGAGAACTGCAGCTGAATGTGAGTTTGCGTTTCTTTCAAGTTTTTGCCTGCTTGTTACAACAGTGAATTTTATGCAATTGCTTGTCTCTAACACTCTCTAATTGAATAGGAGGAAGTATGCAGCAATGTCTCAGTTCATTGTCCAGTGTCCAATCCCATTAAATTAGATGCTACTATATTAAATAATCTCACGTGAAAAAAACAAAAGCAGTTCCAGTGACTTTCATTACTGACACTTAAACATTTCAGCTGAGACGCATAGAAATTGAACTTACAGAGTAATAAGTTGCTAAAGCCAAGGCTTGAGAGGTAGAAGCTGCCAGAATAGCGGTGATCTATGTTTTAACTAACAAAATGAACATTCTGCAAATTCCCATCTCAGGCTGTGAGTGACTGAGCAGTTTTTCAGATCTAGTGAATAAAACCAAAATAATTTTGATTAAGAACAGACAAACTGGATTTCAATCATAGGTATTTGTTCACAAAGGATGTCAAGGCAATAAGGCTGCAGAGCTGCCAGCCCTACTCAAACACACAAAGCCTCCTTTTGCTCCCCAGGTCCAGCACACCTTGGCACCATTTCCTACCTGCTTTCTCAGGAGCCACCATCTCTGACGGGCTGGACGCTGATGCCTGAAGAGAGAGCAGCAGAGCTCGAGGAGGAGCCCATCTCCTACAGCATCACCTGCTGCGACTTCACTGTTATGGGTTCAAGGGCAAGTGGCTGCTGCCAGAGGAGACGGCTGCACCTGGCTCATGTCATGCTGCAGGGCCCTCTACTGCTGCTGCTAAAGGGGAGGCTGGGTGCAGGGCTGCAGCTACCCATTTCATCATTTCTTTTCCAATCTTAGGTAGCGAAGAATGAATTGTTGGAGAAATACTACAATCACGGAGGGAAGTTTCTTACCATGCTCCCAGATGGAACAGCACAGTTATTGTATCCTTTATGGGGCTCATTTGCCCACAACAGACCAGGCTGTAACAACAACAGCTTTCAGTATGTTCTGTAATGTTCTATAATGCTGCATAATGGGGTTGCTTGGTTTACCACTTCTACAATCCAAAAAAAGCATCAGGGAAAAAGCTTACAGAGAATCACATTCCTTCAGATCAGCCTGCAACTTCGAGGCAGGAAGGGCATCTGTGTGCTCAGTGCTCAGTGAAGGAACACACCAGCCTGGCTGGGGACAGCTCTGCTCTGCCCTCCAGCTGCCTACATCCCAGGGCTGCTGCCATTTGTGGTGCTGGAGAATGACAAAGTGCCTCAAATGCATGCACTCCCAGCAGTGAGCCATGTTGGAGATGCAAGGTGTGAGGTGCAAAAGAACCACTGTTTGGATATGTTCATGTTAGTTAGGGGCCAAAGCCATTTTTTCCCTCTGGTTGTTCCTTTTTTTTTTTTTTTTCCTTTGTGAGAATGGGACCTGCCCCTGTTTTCTCTATCCTTGTTCATATTAAGCTCAATTCTTCCCTTTGCCAGGCTTCTGCTTTCAATCCTAAGATTCTATAAATGTGTCTTTAAGGCTTATAAGAAATTCTGCTTGGATTGTTGCTTAAAAAACCAACAAAGTGCATTTTTTGTCTGTGCACAGAGAACATTTATGTAGGAAAGGACTTTGGTCCTTCCCCAGTAGGACTGCAGCACACCACCGTTCTGCCTGCAGCACCGTAACCCAGGCAGTGCGTCAGTCTGTGCACTGAGATACGTGGTATGCAATAACCAGTGAACCAGGCACACAGAGGAGTTATGCACACCTTATCTGATGGTAGCTATCCATCTGGAAACCTGGCAGTCATCGTTGTACGAGAGAAAAAGCGGTTTGTTTGCATAGTGCAGGAAGACAAGGAAAGTAACACTGAGATACAGGCAGTATTTGCATCCAACGGCAGGAGCACCTGCTACCACCCGCACGGCACTGTGTGGTACGTTGGTGTCAGACAGCAGCTTTGTTCCCACTGCATGTTTTCAAAGATCATAAAGGCTGTTTTTATCAGCACTCCAAAATTAAAAGGCAAACACACGATAGGGGAGATGCGATCTACAGGGAGAGGACACGTGTTTTATAGACCCACCAATGCCACTGGGAAAAAGCAGACACACAGCAGTGCTGAGCTGATGCAGCATGGCCTTGTTGCTGGAAATTCTGTGAAGGCAGGACACCTTGGCTGGGAGGTGCTCAGGACACAACGAAGATTAATATTTCCTCTTTCCCTGTTTCCTCTTCTCACACTCCAAGGGCTGTGCCCTGCTGTGTGCTGGGGTGTCAGGCCCAAATGTGTGCCACAGCTTGCTGAACACTATGTGAGGTCCTGTATGTGCTGAGCCCTGAGCGAGGTCCTGTCCCCTGGGCTGCTGAGGACAGCAGTCACAGGGTGCACCCCTCGCTGTGGAGTGTTGGTCTTTCTCTTAGGATAACGATGAATGCTAAAGGAGGGCAGTGCCTGGACCGGGCAGGCAACAGGGTGAGGAGGTGGACGTGGCCAAGCAGCACAGCATCATCAGGACCTTGTGCCCCACTGAGCCCCATCTTCCTCTCCCTGAACCTGCATGTGGGGGTCAGGATCATGGGCCAGGATAAGATCACAGTTTCCTTCCTTGCCATGGGACAACAAGCAAAATTCAACGTGGGAACAAAAGTGCAGGTATTTCTTACATGCACAGCCAGCTGCAAGCAGGGCAGCCAGGGAATATTCCTTACCCGTGGGGGTGCCCCTGCGTTGCCCCAGCCTTGGTCCTGCTTCCAAAGCAGCTCTGATGCCCTCTTCTCTCCCAGGGCAGCCAGGCTGGCGAGCTGCATGCCCTCCCCAAGCTGAATGAGGATGAGCTCCTGCTGCTAGCCTTGCGGGTGAGGATCCTGCGGCTCATCGATAAGCTGCGCAGCTGCCTGAACTTCCCTTCCAATGAGCAATGGGACAAAATGAAGCCACCAGTGTACCTTGTCACACAGACTTTAAAGATCTTGTACCTTTGCACGACTTCCGACATAAGCGAAGAGCTGTGCAGCTCAGTCAGGGCAATAGTAAATGCTCAAGTCTGAGCAGCATGTGTGGTGTGAAGCAAAGTGAGTTGAGCCAGCCAAGACAGAGAATTCTGATGCCACAGTGTTGGCAGGCACTGATCCCGGTGCCCCACAGCCCTGCCTGCTGTGGGCCAAGGGCACTGCAGTCCAGGGGCCATCCTGCTGATGGAACAGCTCAGGGTGGGGTGCAGCCAGCAATGGGTCACGTTGTGTCAGCTTGTGGTGAGGAGCGCCTTGGCTGGGAGGTTTTGTGCAGGGCATACTGACTGTGTGTCTGATGTGAGAGCGCTGCTTGTCAGCGTGCTCCCTTCTGTCTCCCAGCAGCAGCCAGCTTGGGGTGAGCACTCATTTCAGTCCATAAATTTGGCACAAAGATAAAAGCAAACAGCTGAGGCACAGCCTGTGACAAGGGTAGGGGGAAGGGGTGTTTTGAGGCCACAGCATGGCACTGCTGCACTCAGCAGCACTCAAAAAGGGCACAGTGCCGGCACTGTCCACGTTTCCCTGTTGGGAGCACTGCTGTCTGGCCAGCTGCAGGCACAGCACAGCATGCAACAGTTCTCCCATTCTCAGGGGATAAGAGGCCTCAGTTGAACCAAAGCAACCAACAACCCCAGCAGCATTTGCTCAGGTGCAGGGGCAGCGGGCGGTGAGCAGCCCCTGGCATAACATGAGTGGCTGCTCTGGGGTGATCTGCTTGCAGCTACATCGAGCACCACTGTCCCACTGCAGGCCCTGCAGCTATGGGGGTGATGGGATGCAGACCCCTCACAGCCAAGATGACCTGGGCCAGCTCCCACCACTCATGGTGTGGATGCTGGAGGCCACGGGCTGCACTCGGCCTCTCCGCCTGCAGCCGAGCAGTTTAGCGAGGTGGCTGCGGATGTCTCTGCTGTGCAGGGCATAGATGAGAGGGTTGAGGAGGGAGTTGGTCTCACCCAGGATGAACAGCACGTCCTTGAGTGTGTCAGGCAGGTCACAGGAGCGGCAGGCAGCTTGCACGGTGGCCCCAACCAGGTATGGGCCCCAAGAGAGTCCGAAGCCGACGAGGACAAAGAGCACAGTGCGCAGCGCCTTGAAGTGGCGCAGGCGGGCGCGGAGGGGCCTGGGCTGGGCGCAGGAGTGAGGCGACCGTGTGTGCTGTGCATAGGCAATGCTGCACACTGAGACGTGTAGGCACAGCAGCACTAGCAGGGATGGAGCAAAGACACCGAAGCAGAGGGTGTAGAGGTACTCACTCCTGGTCACAGAGAGCAGCCTACAGTAGCCCGTGTAGTTGCTTTGCTGAAGGGAGGGAAAAATGAGAGGCAAGTGCCCAAGGAGGAAGGCGAGCATCCAGAGGAACATGAGGGAAAGGGCCACAGGTGCTTTCTTCAGAAGCATGTGGTAGGAGAGTGGCAGCCTCACTGCCAGGTACCTGTCCAGGGAGATGAGCAGCAGCGTCAGGATGGAGCCGATGCACGGCGTCATGCTCAGGGAGATGCGCAGGAGGCAGAAGGACTTGCTGCGGTCAAAGTCCCCATCCAGAACATCATCCAGGGCCTCAGTGATGCACATTACGCCCACCAGCAGGTCGGCGGTGGCCAGGTTGAGCACATAGATGTAGCCAGAGCCTGGATGCTTCCTCAGCAGCTGGCAGACAGCCACGATCACCAGCAGGTTGGCAGGGGGGATGAGGCAGCTGAGCAGCACATGCGGCACAGTGCACAGCATGCTGACCATGCTCCCTGCTGCAGCCCCAGCAGAGGAGCCCTGCAGCAAGATGTGTGGCTGAGCTGGTGAGAGGGGGCAGAAGTGCCAGCCCTACACTGGCCACAAACACCTACGTCAGTCCTCTAAAAGGCACTCCATCCATTCCAGAAGACCTCTGCAACCATCCCAGATGCTGCCTGTTGCCGGTGGCATTTTCAGCACTCCCAGCCTCACCACTTCCCATCAGATTTCGCTCCACGCCCAGGGGGATGCACCCAGAGGTGCCAGATGGCTGACGTTTCCACCCATGGTGGGCAGGGAGGAGCGCTGTGGGCCGGGCTCCCGGCACCCAGGACGAGGAGTGGCTTCACCAAACAAAGCCGAGGCAGGCAGATGGCTGCTGTACAGGCACCTGTGGTCAGCGTGGTCAGGAGCATGGTGCAGGGCAGACGGAGCCAGGGCAACAGAAACACTGTTCTTGTAGGCTGCACCAGCACTGCAAGGCCACCAGCTGCATGCAGCTTCTGGCATGGGGACAACGTGCAGCTTCCAGACCGCGGCCATGGGTGGGAGCACGTGGGAATGGGGCAACGGCAAAAACGCGAGGACCTCTGGTGCCTCAACCAACGCAATTGCTTCCTGGCAGCCTCAAACCAGGCCTGCCATTTTGCAGAGTAGGATGTTAGACCCTAAGTATATGCTTCTGCTGAGGCATTTGCAAAAGAGAGAACAACAGAAGAGGCAGCTTTCTTGGGTTGCTGTGCTGCAGCAGTTCCTGTGCCCGTGCTGCCCGGTGCTGCAATCTTTCCTGCACCATGACTGAGCAGCAGCCAGAGCCCCAGGGCAGCTCTGAGGCCATGGGAATCATAGGAACACCACAGACACTGAGAGTGCAGCAATACCTGGACGGTCCTCTGTCCCACACTTCATCAGGTTCTCCTGGCTACAGATCAGAAAACACGTATCAAATCAATTTCTACTATACTGTACCAGCCCACAGTGCTGCTCATGGGACCCTTCCCACACAACAAAGACACACTTGGCATGGTGATCCAGGGAAGAGAAATCCTGAAAGGATTTCAGGATTACAGAGCACAGAAAAGGATACAGAAATGCCCGTGCTGGGTGTTTTTCTAAGTCTGGGATGTTGGAAGGGGTGAATGGGAAACAGCGCTTGCTCACAGTCAGTATGCATGCACACAGCCCTTGGATGCTGCTGGAGGCTGTTAGCAGGCTTGGGATGCCCGCTGCCAGAGCCAAGCACAAGGAAGCACTGAGTTCAGCCTGAACCAGCCCTCCTGGTTAAAGCACCCCAGTATTACACTGTCAGCTGGTGTCTGGTCCCCAGAACGTATTGCTCCCTTTAGTGACTATCAAGGCTCTTTTCTTCCATTTCACTGTTCAGTTTTTCAGGAGGCAGTGATCAACAAACAGCAATCACGGACCCGGTCCCTCCATTAAACCAGATCTACTCAGTGGACCCTGCAGCCCAGAGCAACTGCAGGAGGACTGGAACACAGGTCAGCCTGCGTCCCTCAATGAGAAGCCAAGGCTGAGCGTCTGGCACATTTAACAAACATCAGCGACGGTTCTCACATTCCTCACCCCAACACTTCATTATGTGATTTTGCTCAGATGAAAGGAGCAATATTGCGGGCAGCGAACAGGTCGTGGGCATCACCACGGTGACAGGCAAGCAGCTCATGGAAAATCACAGCCTAGCAACACATCCACACACGTAGTTGCTTTGTCTGATCTGTCTTAGGACTATAACCAATGAGAAACTAAAAACTCTATCCACACTAGAAATTTTGACTTATCTATTTCAGAAGAGCTAAAAAAACAATTTCATCATAGACTCAAACAGGTTCTGAGGCCACTGCATGTTTAATGATTTAATGGTTGTGATTAGCAACACCTTTATAGCAACTGACAGAGTGTATTCTTTCAGTTGGATGGACAGTGTCGGAGTTACTCAAAACCTTACTTAAATGCCTCCATAAATCCTGAGGTGGGTCAGACCAGTGATTGCTGTCTCGTCTGATTTACTGCCCCAGCACACAGCTCTTCCCCCCCCCCCCTCAAAGGGCAGTGTACAATAAGGAGGACCCAGGAAGCACACAAGTAGCTTTACAAGGGGTGTGAAACTGTAGTTTGGAGCAAGGACAAGAAGCAGGAGGATGAGACATCTGTACCTCCACAAGGTGAGACCGTGAGCATCCTGGGAGCTCATAGCTTGACTGCCAGCAGCTCTGCTGTTTTCATAGAACCTCTAAGATCCCCAAGCCCAACCCATCCCACCACGCCACCGACCGTATCCCTCAGCACATCTCCACAGTTACTGAACAACTCCAGGGACAGCAACTCCACCCCCTGGGCAGCAATGCCAGTTCCTGGCAGCTCTCACAGGGCAAGATGGCCATAACAGGGGTCACAGGAGCAGCCAGAGCAGGACCTGCAGTTCCAGCAGCTCAGCCCTGGCAGAGAACCAAGTGCACCATGGCCAGGAGAGGCCTCAGCTCCATCCTGGGGGGTCTGGGCTAGAGTTGCAGCGACCACGGTTTAGTGCACGTGGTGGCAACGGGTTGATGATTGCACCAGATGATCTTGGCGGTCTTTCCCAGCCTTAACGATTCTATGACTACAGCCCCAGAATGGCACTGACACTGACAGGCTTGCCTCGGCCCTTCAGGACCCGCTGCATCACCCAACATCCTCCGCACCCTTCAGAGCTGCATCGCGCAAGCCGCCCCCCCGCACAGCGCAGCTCTCGCACTGAGCAGCGCTGCGCTGCGCCCGGCCTCAGGCTGCACACAGCCCACGGGCACCTGCTGCAGCCCGGCAGCAAAAGGCAGCACCAGGCGCTTCTGCAAACACTGCTGCATTTCCACGGGAAAACAGCTGGGCACCAAATCCTAACAGAGCAAGGCTGCGGAAAGGGGCTGAGACGAGACAACCAACACACCACACCACTGACGGCTTCGGGAAGTGGACTTTCTATGCATTTCTCAGTTACAGCTCTAAGAATATCGTCACCATCAGCGACTCACGAGGTACTTCACACAGTCAATGAGAACTCTTTATTTCAATTCCATTTCCTATTTCTGTTTTGGACAGTACAAAGTCCCAGCTTTTAAACTCTTCAGAACGGCCACGGGAAAACCTCTCAAGCTGGCCAACATCACTTGAAAAGCGGCTGACTAATTTTTACTGAATTCACAAAACGATGCAATTACTCGGAATATAATTTCGTTCACATAATTTAGAATATAAAGCACTGTTCAACTCTGCCATATATTTTGAAAAATATACAAACCTGCTTTTACCACATCAGAGATATTTGACAGGCGGCTGTCAATTACTTAACAGTTTAGGACAACATCAGACGTTCCTGTAACTTCATTTTAAACTACAAAAAGAACATAAATCCATATAAAATACAACAGATTAAACAAACTTTTTCCAAGGGAAAATCAGGTATCAACTCAATCTGCCACCGCGTGAAACATGAATATAAAATAAGTTACAATTAGTAATGCCTGCATTGTTGAGCTATGAACTGGTCGAATGAAATCTTAAAAAAACTATACAGTATTATTGCACCCCATGAATGTGCAGTATCTGGAAACACGCCAGCACTGAAAGAGGTCTTTCATTAAGGTTTTTTCAGGAGGCACAACATGACTGCGAGAGAAGCATCCAGTCTGTACCAACAGCAAGCTGTCTTCAGTACAGGCCTTCATTGGTCCGAGACACGCGGCCCTGGAAATCACCGCTTAATGCCTGCAAACAGAGACACAGCAGCACCATCAGCAACAAGCCGGGGTTAGCTCAGTCAGACCTCACGGAAGGGCACGTCTGCAGAAGTCAGAAATCAGTGATACCTCTTACTTCCTGCACTGGCACTGCCCAAGTAACAATCGCTCTGAACCCTCT